GCAGGACACCCCCCAGCCCTGCCCCAGCTGGGACCCCTACAGCCCTGGCCCCCATCCAGTGTCCCCCTTACCTGAAGCCCAGCTGCCCCCCATTCTGTTCTCCAGGCTGTTCTCGTAGCAGGCACCCTCTGGGGGAAGGGAAGGGCATCAGGGGAGCAGGAGCCTTGGCTTTGCCCCCAGGCAGGTTGCCCACTTGCTGATTGGGGAAAACCCAGCCCTGCCCGCCCCGAGGCTGCACCACGGCCGTTCCCTCGCTCCTGTGCTCAGGCTGGGCCCCGGGGCTCAGGGCGTGTCCCTGCACCCCCTAGGCAAACGTGGGGCCAGCTGGCTCTTCGCACTGCCTGGGCCCACAGGCCCCGCCCCTGCTGCTCCCATTGGCCACCCTTCCCAGCCAATGGGCGCTGCAGAGCTGAGGCTCAGGGCCAGAGTCTCCCCGTCATTTCTGGCAGGGACCGGCCTTAGCCCCGCTGTGCCGCCGATGGCTGGCTGGAGCCACCAGACTCACTCCCTCGGCCACTGGGCGCTTAGGCCAAGCCAGACCTGGCACCCTGCCCTAGGAGGCTCCCAGGAGGGCCAGGGAGAGTGAGGAAGTGGGGAATGGACTCCGGTCTGGCCAGGGGGACTGGCTGGCTTAGAGGGGACGCTCCATCGCTGCGCTGTGGGTGCCGGGAGAGGCGGGGGCTGTTACCGCTGGACCCCTTGTCTCCCATGCACAGTGTCACGTCCCTGTCCGTGTTTTCATAGTTGTCACCATCTGGAGCCGGGAGAGAAAAGCAGAGCAGGTGACCCCAAACCTTGGCCCTGGGGGTGCAGCCCTGGCCCCTTCCATCGCCCCTCCTGATGCCTGCCCCGCAAAGCCCAGCTCCCTGCTTCTCCGGCCCTACTCACCCTCGGGTGCTGCTTCTTCCTCGCTGTCTGGGTGCTCGTACCCCTCCTCATCTGAGAGAAGAGGGGTTTCAGTGTGGGTCCTGCTTCCTCACAGTCCATCACCCCGTCACGTTCCTGCTCCTGC